GGGAGGGGGGGGGGGTGTACTCATAGTCGTGCATGCCGTAGTCGTTTGACCATTGACCTCGCATCCCTACAAAGCCGGGACGGAGCACGCCGGGTTCTCACCGGACCAGGCTCTCACATCACCAAGCGCGAAGCGCCGTGAGGTATTTGGCGAGTCGCATGAAGGGTGAGCTGCATCCTGCTAAGGGTGTTCGGCATCTTGTGCTTACTTCCTTGCGTACGGATGACAGCTACGTATGACTTAATTTATTTTCTGGTGCTTTCACTTCCAGAGATAGTTGTAAGCACTGTGTAACTGCCTCGAGGATGCTTGACCATTTTAACACAACGTGGTGCGATCATCCCCCTTGAGCGGATTGAGGGTTCTCCACCCCGCACAACATGATCTACTCGACCACCATGATGGTTACCGCCAAAAAAAAAACCAGAGGTAAAAAAAAAACGGTAACCTGGTTGCCGAGTTCACGAAGTGAATTGGCTCGTTTTACAACGTCGTTGCCAAGCGACGAAAACCCAATCCCGATGGCGAACACCGCATTGGAGGGGGGGGTTGGCAAAAACGTAGGCGCGGGGGAGAGGGATATGACTGGCAGAAAGAAATCACTAAAACACACACTTTAGTTTCTGTTTTTCGTGCTTACAACACACAATACACGACGGCACGACAGGGGGGCGCCGGCAAAAAGCAACAAGACCCTCATGCTGAAAAATCTACATATCCACATAATGCTTCGTACAACACGCGGCGGCACGATAGGGAGTCGCCGTAAAAAATCCAGACCCTTCCATGATGAAAAAAAAAACGAAAACAACACAGGAACAGTCGTAGTAGCACCGGTGTATGCACACACCTGTCTCACGAGGACGCACAGCGTGGCGACAAGGGTGACCCTGTCTACGTCGTCCCTGGCGGCGGCGAGCCTTCCCCCGTCACCCGCAAGCGTCTCCGGGAGCACGCCACCCGCAGCGGCGGCGGCAGCGTCGGGGCGATCGAGCCGGACCGTTGATCGTAGCAGGCCGGTGAACGCCTCCTGTAGAACGGCCTTGTGGAGCTCCTTGGGGGGAGTTTGTGAATTTATTGTTGTTGTTGGGAGGAAGTGGTCGGCAAGGGAGACTTTTCGCACGACGAAGTGCTCTACAAGTGTTCCACTACGTGTGCATTGTGCTAAACTACCGTACATGTACAAACATATCAAGGAACAGTTTCAAGCCTCAATTATCTTTTCATAGAGCGATTGCGCATAAAGGTAAGTGAATTTCTCACATTAAATAGCACGCCCGCACTTACCCAGGAGTTAAAAGGTAGTGAATTTCTCATGTTAAAGAGCACGCCCGCACTTACCCAGGAGTTAAAGGTAAGTGAATTTCTCACATTAAATAGCGGGCCCGCACTTACCCAGGCGTTAAAGGTAAGTTCATTTCTCACATTAAATAGCACGCCCGCACTTACCCAGGAGTTAAAAGGTAGTGAATTTCTCATGTTCAAGAGCACGCCCGCACTTACCCAGGAGTTAAAGGTAAGTGAATTTCTCACATTAAATAGCGCGCCCGCACTTACCCAGGAGTTAAAGGTAAGTGAATTTCTCATGTTAAAGAGCACGCCCGCACTTACCCAGGCGTTAAAAAAGGTAAGTGAGCCTCAAAAATTCAATCACTTTCTTCAGAACTTGAGCACCATCTGCGAGCCCGGCTAAGAACCCCTACACTAAAACCTATACAGCGACCATTCGAAGCATGACCCTAGGAATAGGGTAACAACCCCACCCGGGCGAAGCTATTAATAGAGGTTCTTAAGTGTGAGCGCGTTCTGTACTGCCTACGAAAGAGGAGCCGCTGCTGGCACTCTTCCGGTGTGTTGGGGGTAAGTACTGCTGTCCAAGGGGTCTGTCTGTCTATGCATACCACCGCTTGGAGGGCGCTCAGTACCTTGAATCTTTGCCGAGAGTGAAGGGTTCTACAGAAGAAGTTACGGGAATAGCAAGTTGATAGCACACGTATTGCTGCAACGAACGATAAAAAAAAAAAGGGTCAAACACAAAATATATATGCCAAGAAGACAAGTTCTGCTCTGTGCAGCATACCTCGGCCTAAACAAGAATAAAACGGACCGACAAAACTATATATCATACCAGGTACTGTCCATCTAATCACCAACCGGAACGGTGTAACATCACGCGGGGTTACCGCCATGGACAGGGGGGTCCTTTCGATAGTAAACAAGGGTGGGTGGTTCGTTCTGTTCTGATCTGCTATTCAACAACAAGGTCTGTTTATTCACATACTTAATATGTTACCTCTCGGCCGTCGCGAAGCCCCTTTGCGCGACGAGCTCGCTCTCCCTCGTCCCCCGTCCCCCCCTCGCCCGCATCCCCACCAAGAAACCCCTGCACCGCGGAGGAAAGCCAGGCCTTCGTTCGCTCGAGCGAGACGTCGCCTCTCGACAAGCGTGCCTACAGTACGGTCATATTCGGAGGTGTTGCGAGAGGGATGGATGGGTGTGGATGTGGGGAACGCCATACCGTGCACGACTGCACGACTGCACGACTGCACGACAGGGTGGGATGGAATACGAGACGAGGTCCTTGCACCGCCGAGGCGGCGGCGGGGGGTAAGGAGAACATGCGATAGCTGGGTACTTTGACTACTAGAGCTTACCTGGTGAGCCAAATGTCACGGAAAAATCTCTGTCTGTGTGTGTGTGTGTATGTCTCTCTCTCTCTCTCTCTCTCTCTCTCTCTCTCTGTGTGTGTGTCTCTCGGTCTGTCTGCATGTCGGTCTGTCTGTATGTCTGTCTCTATCACTCTCGCTCTCTGGTATATCTTCTTTCTCGCTTCCGTGGCTTCTCCGGTTCCCTGCCACAGGCACTCAAAAGACGGGACAAAAAATGCTCGCTAATAAACAACGGCATTCGTCGCTTTATGACTACCGTAGCCAAAAAAAAACATCCTGTTCATCACGTCTTGGTAGTGCGAGCACCAACAAACAAAAACAACGCACCTCAAACTTGGCCCGTTCGTAGGGGGCCCCGTGCCGTGCGAGGTACGGGGCGACGAGGCGGATGTGCGCGTTGGCCGTGTCGCGTTTGATCTCCTCCATCTGAGCGAACACGAACTCGAACACTCGAGGGAGCAAGGGGATGATAGCCAGCGGGTCCCCGGATGCTATCGCCGCTTCCATGCTCGCATCGAAACCCTTTTTAGTTTATTTTAAAGCAAAACGAGGGGGATTTGGGTCAGGACAGGAGAGGATGTAGTGGCAGCAAAGAAACACACGGGCGACGTAAGAAAACAAACAAACAGCTTTGAAATTGGACCACCACCACCAGCTTCACTCATCGAAGTTTTTGTATGGTCCGTGTACATCAGTTCCAATATCCACAGTTTCCGGTTTTGGGTGAATCCGATTCAAGCAACAAGCCATCAGGCATGCTAAGGAATCAGAGAAAAATATACATTTATGTATATATATAGAGAGAGAGGTACATACTGCTGTACGGCCATTCTGAGGACTTGGTCATCTGAGACTACAACGAGGTAACATCTTTTGTCCTTCGCCGGAGGACAGAACACTCTCGGTTGGTGCTTGGAGGAAACACACAGAGAGAGACGGTATTTGTGGGCAGAGAGACAGAGACACTACTGTAGGAGTGGCGCAGTGTCTGCGGGACAGGTGCTCTGCCAGGTCGGTAGAACATCTCTCTTTTCCTCGTTTTTTTTTTTCTTGTCTTCACTTCAAATCAGCGGGGTTTTGAAGAAGAAAAAAACAGGTCAAGATCGAAAAAGAAAAAACAACAACTGCGAGCGACACAAAGCACACAGCTTGTCAACACAGCAGCTGCTGCAGCAGATTAGAGTGACAGAGCAACTACAGCAGCGACCGAGCCCTTTTCCTCGCCTTGAGCCAAGCCCTAGCACCGTCCGAGCGAACGGGGGCCTGCAGGTTCAGAATCCTCCCCGCGATGAACCCCACCAGCCTCTGCGTCGGACGTTCGTGTGATACAGTACGGCGGGGAGGGAGAGGGGCATCGGGGGTGTAGTCATATTGTAAACGCATGCCTAAAAGCATGCCATAGTCCCTAGATAGACCATTGACCTCGCGCCAATGCCGAGGCGGGGCGATATGCCGACGGCGCGGGCTACATTTTCACGTTTAGCGAATTACAAGATGTTTGGGGGGGTTTCAGAAGCGGCAAAACCGTGTCTCGTGCTGTTGTCGTTGTCTTCATGCTACAACACTGTCTCGATCTTGACTTACTAGTGTGCTAGTTCTCTGCCCACGCTGCCATCAACCACGTACCTGCACTTGGCGCGCGTCGAGCGTCTTGTCCCGCAGCATCTCGGCCAGGCGCTCCTGCGACAGGACCGCCCGCACCTCCCCGACGAGTACGGAGTTGTTCGGCGTCAGGGACACCAGCTCCTCTCGAACCTGTTCTTGTCGTCGCCGTCGTTGTTGTTGTTGTTGTTGTTGTTGTTGTTGTTGTTGTTGTTGTTGTTGTTGGTATTGTTAGTTGGTTCTAACGCCAACAAGGCGACAGACCACGGCATAGCATAGTCGAACTCAATCCCGAACCGGTGTTGTTGTTGTTGTTGTTATTGTTGTTTGTTAACGCCAACAATGCGACAGGCCACAGAATGGCACAAGAGCTTCCCAGTTGAGGGTAAATTCTGTGGGTGGAGAAGTGGAGGATCCGATTCGCAGGGTATCCGTCGACTGGCATTTATATACCAGAATCGGTACACCTTCGCATAAGTGCTATCATAAGGAGTGTGGCTGTTGACATGAATAGGGTTTATCTTATTGAGGATAGGATGTGGGATGGTCAGTAGGTATACCTCTGTGGTACCCATGCCACATCAGAATTGTCTGTTCTGCGTGCCCCCTGAGATGAAATTGGACCTCCCCCTTCATCTCAGACCACCTCTCAGCAATAGCAAGCCACGTTCCCATCCTTCACGATCGTGGAGCAAGAGTGCCAAGCAACATTTACCTTGTCCTTCCCCTAGGACCAAGCTACCATCTACGGCTTGTGCTCCTTCATATTTGGCGTCAGCGGCAGGATACGAAGGTGTGCCGATTCTGGTAAAGTCGATACCCTGCGAATCGGGTCCTCCTAAACAGGAGGAAGGGAAAGGGATCGACGCCTGTCTGGCAAGCCGCTGCTCTGCCGCCTGGTTTATCATACGCCAATACCTCTCCCAAACGAACCACGAAGCACAGCTATCTTCTTTTTTCGTCGCCTCTTGACCGACCCGACCCGACCAGGCATGCCACGAACGAAGAACTAGATTTCCTCTCACAACAGCTCTCTCTCTCTCTCTCTCTCTCTCTTTTCTCCCTCCCTCCCCAACCCTCTCTCCCACGACTAGAACACACGGCACGACATACACGGTGACGTTGTCCCCGGTCCCGTCGCGCTCCCCAAAGGCACCCCCCTTACCTCTCCCAGAAGCGCCAACAGCGGCCCGAAGTCCGGAGGGTCATCCAGCTTTTTAAGCCTTGATACAGGAACCCCGCGCTCCACCATGCCGTCCTCGTCGTACCGCACGTCCACGAACACGCCTCCTCGTTCTCCTCCGACTTGGCCACCACCGACCCCACAAGCAGCATCGGAGGAAGAGCCTACCGCGACCACCGTGGCGGCGTAGTACGACCCTCTCTCCGAGCCGTACCTCGCGTGCACCTTGGAACCGGCCCGCAGGGGCGGGAGCCCCGTGACATGAACCACAGCTTCAGCTCCGTCCTCCCCCTCGGCGGCGGCGGTAGCGGTGTGCGAGGCGGCGCCGGCAGGGGCATCCGCAGACGAGGCGGAGGTGGCGGCGGCGGGGATTGGGTTGGGCGGGGGCAGGAGCGACTGCGTGAAACGGTCCCAGAATATGCGCCGCATGACGTCCTTGAATCGCCGGGCCAGTTCTTCCTCGGGCGAGGAGGAGGAGGAGGCGGTGCTGTTGCGGGGGTCGTCCTCCTCGATCGCCGGGATCTGTTCTCAAGAGAGAGGGAGAAGAGACAAGAAAAACCATAATTCAATGTTTGCCATATTACAGAACATCACCGAATGACATAGTACTGTCGGGTTCCCTCTATTTTGTGTGGGAATTGGTGTCGACCTCACAAACCGATAGAAAAAATCAGGAGTAGGGTAGAAAACATACAGGAGTAGGGCACAGACGGATCTTCACAGAACACAAACACGAGTACCCCCGCCCACCCACCCACCCACCCATTTGTTTACCCCCCCCCTCACGCACCTGGAAGTCTGCATTGACGAGTATCTCGTGCGCCAACTGCTCGTTCCCCAGCAAGCGGCCCAAACGGCCATCGGGCAGTCGGTAGTCCCCACCCCTGCCCGCGCTCGCGGGAGCTGCTGCTGCTGCTGCTGCTGCTGCTGCTGCTGGTACCGCTCCTGCTGCCTTCAAAGCGGACCCTCCTCCCGTTACATCACCCATGGTGGCAGAACTCCTGGGGTTGGTAGTGGTATTGTTTGTCTCGTTCTTGGACAGGGGAGTAGCGGTGGCGGCGGTGGCGGCGACCCCCGTAACAGCGGTAGCCGCAGGGGGGGAAGAAGAAGAAGGAGGCGGCGGCGGGGTAGAGGGGGGCATCTGTTCCCGAAGGTCCGCCTGCACGGCCAGCTCCACCTCCTGGAGGCTGTTGCTCGCGCGCTCGGGGCCGATGAGGTGCTCCAGGGCCCGCCTGAGCATGATAATCACACAAGCGTACTCGATGGGAACTAGTTTCACTCGTAACCTACCGCCTAGCGTAGTCGATTTTGCTTCAGCAGACGGTACGGTGGGAATGGAATTCCACCGTCAACTGGGCGGTTGCGAGAGGGGCGGGGGGCTCGTATGTATGTTGTTGCCTTAGTAACCATGCCTCTCGAGACGAAGCGAAGCGTCGCACACGTAGATATCGGCAACATCCCGGAGCTCATTAGATGGCCGCCGCACACTTCCACACAACAAACTCATGGTTGCCGATTGAACTCTCCCTTCATTTTTGGTTCTCTCGCCACCCTTTTACCCCCGCTGCAAACATCTAAAGCGATGATCGTCTCACTCTATGTTCGATGCAACATCCAATACCACGGGGCGGGAGTAGCTGTCCATGACAACGCCAGACACTCTTTCGTCCATGCTCTCCAGGCAGTTCGTTCTGCACACAGAACATTTTGCCTTCAAGCCAAAGAAATCGCCGCTAGAGCCACCCCCTGACCCCACGCATGCACACACCCCTTGTCTCACCTGTACTGCCCGAGTTGGCCCTTGACCATCTCCGCGACGCGCTCGTCGCCCTGTGCGACCGCCGCCAGCCGCATCGCGTACGCCCTCGCGTAAGGCTGAACCACCTGACCTCAAGTTCGTTCCGACACGAGGTGCGGCGCAAAGACAAGAATACGATAAGCACGCACGATACAGTAGTGCAAGAAAAGACCGGATCCTTCTCGGTGGATCAAAATCGGAACCCTTTCAACGGCCCCAAAACCCCAAAAGGTGGAGGACGACATTAACAAAGAAGCAAGAGAAAACAAAAAAAAGGAAGTGAAAGAGGTTGAAACGGTTACGTTTACAATGGGCTTCTTCTGTAGCTGCCGCCGCCGCCGCCGCCGCCGCCGCCGCTACCGCCGCTGCCACCACCGTGGTCCCGTGGTATCCAAACCGATCCCTAAGAAGGTGACAGAAGTCCACGAGCACAGCAGCAAACCAACTGCACGACGAACCGCCCCTGACCTGTGCCGCCACCCGCTGAGCGTCCTTGTCTTTCCAGGCGGCGAGCGACACCGCGAAGTATTTCCGGCAAAGGCGTAGAACGCCCACTC